TTGAGAAACACCACACACATTTCATGAACAAAGAGGGCTGTGCTGTTTGTTTTCAAGGTGCCACTTAGCTTTGAAAACATGTAGCTAATATTTTGCCTGTGGTACCCAACAGGCAGGTGTAAGAGCAAACATTTCTCAGGTTTTAAAAATAGTAGTATAATATAAACTTGGAAGGCAAGTCCTAACATACCAAAAGCCACAGATCAGGAGACTCTATTTAAAATAGAACTTCCTTGGCGCTGAAGAGGCCTCAAACATACCATTGTGCAAAATCAGATTCAAGGCTTCCCGTAGATCCTCATATGACTGTCCCCTCTGCCAAGAGCTTTCCTTTGAAAACACAAGACGACTAAAAGAGAAGTGTATTTTGCCAAAAAATTATATGTACATAAATATCACTCCGACAACTTTTAGGCTTATAAAAAGCTTATGCTTGTCAAAGTGTTACACATTTGGTCTTCCCACCATCCTGGGAGTGCCAGGCAGGGTACCTGGCACTCACAGATGAGAAATTAAGATGGTAGGTTTGCCTTAGATGGCCGCATGCAGCTCCCTGCACAAGGGCTGCCTGCACTGGGGCTGCTGCCGCCTAGAGGAAGGAGCACCTTTTTGTAATTTGCATAAACAGATCCTTTACTTTCCCCTGGCCCTGTTTCCTATGAGTTTGTGGAATAAAACCCCTAGGTGTTGCCTCTTTCTAATACACACAAGGGCACAGCATAGGCTGGTGCAACTGTTTCCTGAGGCCACCTGAACACTGCTTTTAACAGGGACAGCACAATGACTGAGTCCAGGTCTACTGACTTCCAGTTCATGGCTCTGTGGTAGGCAGCTGGACAGACATGAGCAGAGCAAGGATGATGGGCCAGGAATAGAAGGTCATCAGAGCAGAAAACAAGGATCTCGCCCACCCCTTCCTCCCTCTTCCCCCAAAATCTTTCCATCCCAGCATACTGCTGGTCATATGGGTTAGACCCCCTGGCCTTTCCTACCGCTGGTCATGAGGTCCAGACCTTCCCCTGACCTTTCCGCCCCTGACATGTCGCTAGTCATGAGGGTTAGACCCCCTTAGAGGGGGATGAAGAAGGGGGCCAGAGAACAGCCCTTAAGCATTGAGCCCACAGGACAATGAGGTTCTGACCCGCATCAAAGACATCTAGGCTTTAGCTGTGTTTAGGATCAGGGCCCAGAAAAGCAGCAAAACCAGACAAGCGCACCACAGCTGACCTCAGGACCAGCAGCACTGACAAATGACCCCTGCCTAGAACCAACCAATCAGTGGGACCACAACCCTGAAAAGAAACACCTCGAAAGCTGCTATTAAGATCCTTCCCTGAGACCTCCCCTAAAATCTGACCCTTAAAACCCCTTAGGACAGAGGACCTTTCCCCTCTCCATGCTCCTCCTCTGCCCCCAGACCCTCAGCAACATTAGTACCTTTACCCTTCTCTCTCCTAAGATCCAAGAGTGCCCCTACTTTTGCCTCTGTAACTTGTTTCCTGAGCCCATTGCTTCTACCACTCACTTCTTTTACCTCTGTGACTTTCTCAATAAACTTACTTTTATGGTTTGAGTCTTGGCTGTGAATTCTTTCCTAGCCAGAACTCAAGTACCGAGGTTGCTGAACCAAGGTCCAGTCTGACCTCCCGGGTCTAACCTCACTGATCTAAGGTGTCACTCTCACCACTGCCAACAGCTATAAATAATATAAGATGAAGATTCTCACAGCCATTTGGACTTACTGATGTCTCAAAAATAGTCACACAGCCCTTCCCAGGGATCTGTGAGGATTGCTTTTGAATAGAAATAATGGAAGTGTCATGTTGTCCATAGCATTGACACTGTCCCATCACCAGGCCTTTTCTGCAAATGTTCTCCTTCCTTTTCCCTACCCCTACCTTCCAAAATGTCCTCCTCAGTCTTCATTTACTATGTGCCAGGCAGTTTGCTAAGTATTTTATAAGAATTCTTCTAGGTCCTAACCAAATGCAGATATAGGTGACCTAAGCTTACATCACGTGGCACACAAAAACCTCTCAGCTGAGCTCAGTCAACCATAGAATCATGAGAATCCTATCATTTGTTTAAGCCTCTAAATAACAGGGGTGATTTGTTACACTACAGCAGGTTACTGAATCGCTGTATTCTCTCACCCTATCACACAGCAAAGCCATACCTTTATAGCGGGCACCAAAGGCCCACCCAGATGAATAAACCCTCAGAGAAGACTGTGGACAAAAGGAAACTGAGATAGAGAACAAAGCAGAGTTGATTTTACCCCCTCAGTACAATCAGTTCTCTGTATCCAACCAACCATGGATTGAACATAGTTGGGGGTGGGGCGGGGAGAAAGCACAGGACGTTCCAATAAGCAAAACTTGAATTTGCCATGCAATGAGCACTACGTTGAATCCACACAAAGGAAGTTATGTATAGGCACACCCTACTGTAGCCTATATGCAAACACAGGTTATGGGCAAATGCTACACCATTTTATATATGAGACTTGAGTATCCTTGGATTTTTTGGTATCTGAGGGGGTCCTGAAACCAATCCCAAAGGATACTGAGGGGCGACTATAATCATCTGTGTTCTTCCTGGGTGCAAGCAGCACAGGCTGGCGATCAGGGTTGTGGGTTTTGGATTCAGAAATGTTGAAATCCTGGCTCTCCCACCTGCTAGCTCTGGGAACTTGAAAAGGTGTTTAAACTTCTCCAAACCACAATTTTCCCAGACTGTGAAATGGAAGGCAATCATAATGACCTCCTGAGCTGCTGGGAGAAGTAAACATGATAATGCGTGAAAGCACGTCCTCCCCTCTCCCTTCTCGCCTGGAAATTCCTGTTCTTGCTTCAGCCAGTATTTCACAAATGCCACTCTTTCTAGGAAGCATTTCCTAATGGCCACCAGGATTCAGCAGGCCTCCACGAACTTTCCCTGTATAAATATGCGTCATGAACTGACTCTGTGTTTGTTTTGTTAATCATTTATTAACGTCACTCTCACTGATGAGAAGCCATCAGTTCCACAGAGCCTAGCACACAGAATTTCTAAACATTATTCAATGAAGATGGAGAGAGAAAAGAAAAAATTTAGCCCAGAATCTTGACACGCACCAAGTACTTTAAATGAGCCCAGCATTGTGCTATGTGCTTCTGTAAAAGCATGCACTGCTGAAGCTTATCTTATATAATAAAAGCCTAATATGCAAGTTGACCAAATGGCTATAATGCACACTGGCCACCTGGGAGCAGATGCTCAATGCAGGAGCTGCCCCCAGCCTGCAGGCCCCAGGCCAGCCAAGGTGGTGCCAGTGGAGACGGTGGGTGGAGCCGGCGAGCGGGCAGCACCAGGCAGGCCAATGCGGGTGCCAACAGGGGCCCCCACAACTGCCCTGCTGGTCACCCCTCAGATCAGCCCTGATTGCCAGCCAGGCCTAGGGATCCTACCATGTATGAATTTCATGCACTGGGCCTCTAGTGGTCTAATGAGGGTAAAAGTTATGCGCAGAAGTAACTAACTCTGTGGAAGATGGCCAAAGTGCCCCTCCAGTTCGGACAAGACAGAAATCACTTCCTGATGAGGACAATCCAGAAAGGCTTTCCAAAGAGCAGTGGCATTAGAGAATCCGCCCTCCAAAGTGCCGATCCTAACAACAAAAAAGGGGTGTTTGCTACTTCTCTTTTGGACCCAGAAGCCTAGCCTAAGGCAAAGACCACATCAGGTCACTAATTCAGGCTTCACTGATCATTCCTCCGACTTTTTTTACTGAACAACAGGTGCCATGGACAAGCTGGCATCTCCCCCACCTCCCCAATCAGGCCTCCACGGTGACATCATGCTCACCAGCATCCTACTCACTCCTTTGTGACCTGGGCCCCCAACTTCATAATCTCCTCTAATAAAAGTCAAGTCTTATCACTAAAAAAAAAAAAAAAAAAAAATGGCCACCTTCCTCCCCCGGCATCCCCCTAAGCTTTGCTCCCAAGTAGCATATGGAGCGCAGTGCCTGGCGGCTGTTGCTCAATGCACATTGGTGAAACCTTGCTTAAGAATGTGGAAGCTGAAGGGAAACCTGAGAGATCTGCTCAGTGTTTTAGATGCAGATACTGAGGCCTGCAGAGAAGACGACCTTTGACCGAGGTCAAGTGAACTCACCAAAGGTAAAGCCAGACTAGAATCCACGGCCACACCTCCAGCCCTGGGTGCTTTAGATTTTTCAAAGAAATTTCCCATCATCCTGTTTCAAGAAACCTGGGTCCTCCTCGGAGGAGCCCTTGGGATAAAGAGGGCCACAGTACTGAGGCCAGGGTGCTCCCTGACAGCAGCACAAACAGCAGCAACAGTTTAGAGGCATCGGTCCCTGGAATAAGCACTTTGCATGAATTATCTCACCTGATTCCTCACAACCAACCGCGATACTATTGTCCCCATTTCACAGATTACGAAACTCCTATTGTTTTCCCCATTTCACAGATTATGAAACTAAGGAACGGGCAGGGTAAGCCAACTGCCCTGAGTCCCACAGCTGTTTCATAAAGGAAGGTGGGCAGGCGATGGAAAGAATGCGGAGAAAACTGAGATGATGGCTTCGGTAACCCCTACCCCCTGGCTTTTAAGGGGTCCTCGAAAGACAACAAGTCCTACACAACAGAACTTGGGTTTCCTGTAACTCTCCCCGGGGCCTCCCCCTCGGCAGCAGCAGAGGGTACGTGAGGCCGCACACGGCGCCTTCCCTCCGGCCGGAGGGGGGAGCCTTCGAGGAAACCTCCGCCCGCGCCCAGCTCAGCCGGAGGCAGAACGCAGCTGGGGGGGAGACGGAAGGGGGACCAGAGGGGACGAGGGGGGTAAAGAGGACGAGAGGGGAGCAGAGAGGCCTGGGAGATGGGGGCGCGGGGACGGAAGGGGGAGAGGGCAGCGGCAGAAGCGGGCGGCAGGCGCGCAGGCGGAGGAGGCGCGGGAGGAGAGCCGGGCCCGGACCGGAGCCGCCGGGCGGGTACCTTTCGGAGGAAGCTGGCGACCACCTGCTCGAAGGGGTACTTGTACACCTGGTGCACCTCCACGGTGACCCCCATCCCCGCGCCCCCGCGCCCGCCACGCCTCCGCGAGCGCAGGGCCCCCCAGCTCCACCCGGACTGCAGGCCGCCACACGAGGGCGACCCAGGGGGCGTGGGTTTTTTTCCCTCCTCTTTCAAACTCTGAAACTTTATTGTCCGCCCGGAGAAACAGACAAGCGGTTAGGTCCCCGCCCTCTTCCGCCAGCGTCCTCTGCGGGCCCGGCACGCTCCGGTCCCACGGTCTGCACTTTGCAGTTTCCAGGCCCCGAGCTGCGCGCCAGGCCTCGGAGGCGTGGACTTTGGGTCTTGTTTGTGCCTCTGTGTCATCGTTTGGTCTGGAGCCACAGCTGCGAACTGCTGATGGCGCCCCTGAAAAAGGAATAAACATGGTCAACAGCCATCTCCCGGGCCTAGGAGCTGTAACCAAACCCTCCTTGTGAGCGCAGGGAGACAGGGCCCTGGCAGCTGCTTCCCAGGCTGGACCGTGGGTCTCAAGCTTAGTAGCTGGCTCCAAAAATTCCTGTGCGTCTTAAAAGTTAAACACCACAGAGAAAAAACAACGAGACAGAATTTTTCGTGTTCTTCCCTAGGACGGTGCGCATTGGATGAGAAGGAGCAAGTGATCCATTCATTCAATAAGTTCTTCACCATACTAAGTACTGAACACCTACTGTGCACCAAGCACTATGGTAGCACTGGATTCAGCGGTAAATAAAGCACAGTCAGTAGGAATGGTAAGCCCGGTGACTTAACCAATGAGCCAAATGGGAAAATAAACAGGATAATGGATTAAAGTTGCTGGAGTGGTAGGTAGTACATGATGTTAGCTAGAATGCATAGGGAAGGTCTGTGAGGCGATGGCTTTTACATTTATAATTTGATCATCTCACTTGCCCCTGACACAGGGGCACACTGGTGGCAAAAGCCTCACACTCGGATAAAGCTGGCTGTCCAGTCACCCGCTGCTTCATCCAAGCTGCTGAACAAGGGAGATATACAGCCACTGCTATCAGGCCTCTGTTTTGTTTTGTTAATCTTCACCAGGGTATATTGTTTCCATTGCTTTTCAGAGAGAGTGCAAAGGAGGAAAGGGGGTGGGGGCAGAGAGAGGAGAGAAAGAGAAGGATAGAGAGAGAGAGATGTGAGAGAGACACATCAACTAGTTGCCTCCAGCACACCCATACCACCACCACCACCACCAGGGGCGACCAGGGGTCGGGAGGGAACCTTGACAGAAATTGAACAGGAGACCCTGGAGTGTGCAGGCAGATGCTCTAACCACTTACCCACTCCAGCCAGGACAATCGGGTTTCTTTTGAATTCATACCTTCTAACCTGAAGGGGTCTTTAATGATGCCAGATCAAAACTCTACATTTCTGCCAGGACTGGTTTGGCTCAATGGATAGAGCGTCGGCTTGGGGACTGAAGGGTCCCGGGTTCGATTCCGGTCAAGGGCATGTGCCTTGGTTGCGGGCATATCCCCATTGGGGGGTGTGCAGGAGGCAGCTGATTGATGACTCTCTCTCATCTATGTTTCTAGCTCTCTATCTCTCTCCCTTCCTCTCTGTACAAAATCAATAAAATATATTTCATCCATTTAGTGTGCCACATTCCTCCCATTCTACCCTCCACCACTTCCCTCCCAGCCTTATTCTGGGGTGCATACCTGGCTTCCTTTTTCACTTAGGAAATAGGAAACCTCTCTCTTCCGCATCTACCCACCCATGTGTCCAAATGCCCCGCCTTCTGTGCTGTTCTGGATGAACTATGGGCCCTGAACTGAGGGCCAGTCTCCCCACTTGTCCACTGAATCCAGCGATGAGTTGTTAAATAGTTCACAATCAGCTCTCAAGCCCCGGTTTCTAATGCTTATGACGTCTGTGGTGTGAATGCTCCCACTGTGGCTGATTTCAGACCACCCAGTAAAGTCACTAAACGTGGCATTTGGAAAGTGAGCACAGGACTGCACCATTGTGTGCCATTTCCACCATGTACAGACAACAGACAGAACCACAACAACAGAGACGACAGTCAAAGTGGTGACATAATTAGGAAGGGATGGGTTTTGAATACCTATTACCTTTTAAAATAGAGTTGTTACATTATAAATTTATAAAATTTAGTAATAGCTGTTCTTAACCGGCTGACAGGGTTCAGAACACAGTACCCCGAAATATGGCATCTTGGCATATTGAATATTTTAAGCTGAAGGAGTTTGAGAAAACAGCAGCCATGGAAAGTTCTCACTGACCTTCCCTCTCCCCAGAAGTAGGCCCTGAATCCGGCGTGTGAGGAGTGCCCTCTCTCTACCTGGAGGGAAGGAGCATACCTGTCTCCAGGGGCAGGGTTCATGGGAAGAATTCGAACAAATAGGACTTACCCCATGTCCCCCAGTTCACTAATTTTACCTCATCTTCTCTGTGCTATCATATTGCTACATTTCTCATCAAACCTAGCATAAAAACACCATTTTTACACATCTTTATTTCTTTATGAAGGCTCCCTGTCATATAAACCTTATGGTAAGTAAATGAACATGCTTTTCTCCTGTTTCTATGTCTTTGTCAGTTTAATTTTCAAACCCAGCCAGGAATCCTAAGAGGGACCAGAGAAAAAAATTTTTTTCTCCGCTGCATAGCAACACGACATCACTGGAAGCTCCTTGTCCTCTTTCTTATTAAAGGACATCTTTCTAGGAATATCTCCCCCTCTGTCTTGCCTCATCAGTTTTGCCTCTATTGGATCATTCCAAACAGCACACAAGTATAGCATGATTTCTTCCATCTTAAACACATCCACTCTTAACCACCTCTCTTCCCCCAGCTCTATTCCAGTTCTCTGCTCTGTTTTTGCATCTCAGAAAAGTTGCCTATAACCTCTCGAACTCATGAAGTTTGGGCTCCTGCCACTCCACTGAAACTACTGTTGTCAACATCACCAATTGCTAAATTGCTAAATCCAATAAAGTCATACACCACTAGAAGACAGGGTGTATGTTCTCAGAAATTCATCCGTAAGCAGTTTTGTTGTGCAAACATCGTAGAGTTCACGTACACAATCCTAGATGCGATAACCTACTACAGACCTGGACTATATGGCTTTGCCTCTTGTTCCCAGGCTACCACCAGTATAAAACAACATAAGATTAAAATCAAGCACAAGAAAAACAATGCAATCAAGAGACGTGGTAAACGTGAGATACACAAGGCTACTGCCAGAATTACACAGCATACTGTTTTACAGCAAACTTATTTTATGTAACTGGAAAGCATACACTATAACATAAGAATAAAAAATATAGTCAAGACCTAATGGGTTTGGCTCAGTAGATAGAGCATTGGCCTGCAGACTGAAGGGTCCCAGGTTGGATTCCGATCAAAGGCATGTACCTTGGTGGCAGGCACATCCCCAGTAGGGGGTGTGCAGGAGGCAGCTGCTCAATATTTCTCTCTCATTGATGTTTCTAACTCTATCCCTCTCCCTTCCTCTCTGTAAAAAATCAATAAAATATATATATTTTTAAAAGTGGACTGTTATTTAAAAAAACAAGTATAGTCAATACACAAGCCAGTAACAGTCGATTATTATCATTGTCAAATATTATGTGCCATACATAATTGCATGTTATGCTTTTATAGGACTGACAGTGTAATAGATTTGTTTATATTATACTAGCATCACCACAAACACTGAGCAATGTGTTGTTGTGCTAAGACATTATGATGGTGAAGAATCACTGGGCAATAGGAATTTTTCAGCTCCATTATCATCTATGGGACCACCACTGTAAATGCAGTCCATTGTTGACAGAAATGTTGTTAATGGGCACATGGCTGTAATTAATTCTTAAACCCACCTTACTAACCCTATGGGCAATATGTCTTTGAAATACTGAATGAGGAGGGGGTAGAGATTTAGGGGCCAAAGCCATTACATGTTGAATGTCTGTATAAAGAATTTCTATTATATCACCAACCTCTTCTTATGGTGGGGAGAAGGAGGGGAAGGAGGCAGAGGGATGAGTCTTCCTGAGGAGACAGCAAGGAGTTAAACAGGAAAGAGAATTCACTCGCATGAGTTTAAGGGGTCCCATGCCTGACTGCTACTCTCAGTGTTGGACACTGAGTGTGAAACAGAAACCCCCTGCCAAGCTGGGCCATGTGCCCCTACTCTGCTGTCACCACTGATTTCTTCCAGAATGGGAAGCTGCTAGCCAACTCCTAATTAACTGGCCACAAAATGCCAAGGGTGTGTCCTGCAAGATTAAAGGACCTAGCACCTGTTGGCTCTGCTTGGCCGAGCGACTTTTATAAGGACAAATGCCACTTACTTATTCCAAGGACATCAGGGCACTCTGACGGTGAAAATGTGTTGCATTTTGTGCCCACATTTCCCTGTTTTATAAGGACACCGATCATACTGAATTAACACCCACCCAGTTCTAGTCTCTGAATCCCACAAGTTGCCCTACTTCCTGCATTTCCCCTTGAATTTTCTGAGCTCCTCCAGGTCCTTCCATTGTTTCCCCTTTTGTGCTTAACTTGAGTTGAGTTTTTTATTACTTTCTACTGAGACTCCTACCTAATATGATGTGGAAGAAAACTTTAGCTGTTATGAGTTCATGTGCCAGAGGAAAAAGAAAAAAAGAAAAAGAACCATTTTTTTTGCCAGGTGTTTTATCCATTTCCAAACTAACCCAGCTCCTGAGACCTTTGAAATTTGAGATGCCTTTAACATTTATATTTTCGACTCTCTGTTTTTTCTCATTTTGCCTTGATTGCTTAGAAAGAATTTTATTCATTGTGTTAGCTTAGTAAAATTGCATCATCTGAGGCCAATTCAGCTCACAATATTAGTATAAAAGGGAAAATTTTTCTTCGTAATAGCAGTAGCAATTAATGCATGCATTTTAAAATAATCTATTTCAGATATTTCCTATCTGGAAAGACCAATTTTAAAAGACTGATCTCACACCAGACTGAAGACCAGAAATGAGTGAGAGGCAATTGTGGCCATAATACAAAGACTAATGATAATGAAACCAAAGGCACACAGAGAAAAATTCAAATGGCATGTAAGTTAGAAAGGAAATGGGGTATCATATTCAGCCTCAATG